TGGCAGAGGAGGCATGTTTTCGAAGATGATACACTTGTAAGGACAGGCGAATTTCGCATGACTGCTTGAATGCTGCAGCCTCCACAATTGCTGTGCAACTCGTGTAAAAGAACCAACAACCCGCAATAACTTCGGGGCTTTCTATTGCCTAAATTAATGCAGTTTATGAGGAAGAAGAGTCGATTCGCGTAAAAACAGATATGTATAAATAATTCACATAGCCATGTAATTTATGTCCTAGATGTTTTTTCGCACAAATGCACCCCCTTCCAAACACCATCATATAAAATTATAACAACAGAGGAATCTTCTTCACCACAATACACTTCTCGGGCATACACATTCAACATTTCACGATTTTAACTATATCCTTAGGCACAGAATGCGTGGATGGGAATTGGAAAGGCGAATGCAGCATTTGAAGAGATGAACAAATGAGACACAGAAAATCGTTTAAAATCTATGTGAACTGTTGGAGAGAAAACGATAAGGGAGGTCAGCATACATAAATAAATCCCTCAGGCGTATTTTCATCCTCAAATAGGTCACAGATTCTAAACCTCCTTCACCAAAGGCCACCGTCTAGAGCAGTCGACTCTCATCCTTGGGAATATGTTGGTGCACCGATGCGGCTTTCCTTCATTTCTCCCTCTTATTCTTATCCTTCCGGTGATTTGTCTGGCTATGTTAGTATTTTGATGCTCCCACTACATTGTAATTTAGGATGCATAAACCGCAAGACGGAAGCCTTAACGGAAATGGCAGTTTGAGTGGAATGCAACTTTTACACACGCCTCCTAATTGCCTTTTTAGCTTTTGGCAGCTGCCTCGCATTGCGGTGGGTCTTGACGGACCAACGCACAGCACAGGTGCCTGTTGGGTGGAGCAGATGCAGGTGCTCATTAGCCGCCCCATTTTAAGGCTATCCACCATCAAAGAATGCATAAAATTTGACGCATTATACAAGTAATTTGTCATTCTAAAAAGGTAACACTAAAAAGCTTTGAAATGAGAGTAGGGATTGGGACCACAATTGGCAGGCGATTAAGTGGTGAACTTTTGAAGAGTTAGGACCTACATCCTGGAGGTAATTTGAAGTATCAATTTTCAGGGTTATTTTAGTTTTTGACTTCACTCGGTTCAGTTTAAATAGATACGCCCTCAGATAGAATTATAGATGCTTCAAAGAATGCAAATGTAAGGATTGCGGTTAAAGCACGTAGAGCAGTCGCTTACTTAACAAAACAGATGACATCCGCAGCACACTAAGTGTGCAGATCGCCTCTACTCTTTTGCAAACGAAGTTTCCACACGTCTCACTCGTTTAGAAGTAGCTCTTGTTTTGCTTCTTCAAGTGCAGTTTTGTGACATGAGGGCAAAGATCACAATTCCTTTTTTGCCAGACCTCAAGAATAGCATAGGGTAACACAGAGGAAGTAAACTTTTTAGTCATTTAATTCTCATTTACTTTGAGATTGATTGTGGGCCGGCTAGCTATCCTAATGCATGCCCAGGCTCGCGATCTGTCTGCTCAGATAAGATTGCGTTGCAACTGAAACACGCGATGATGATTTTGGGATTTGGGTGGAGGCAAAGCTTGCGAATGCTAGTTTTTGTTGTAATCTGATCCAATTGCATTCCTGTGTCAAAGTCCACCTAAATTTTACTATTAGCCGAAATCATTAAAAGGAGTCACATCAGCCGGAGGCGCAAAAGCTGTTGTGCATTTTTGTGCAGCTGCTAAGTAATAAAGTTCAACATCTCCAGATCCTCATTTAGGAGAGTTGTTATTTCTAATCCACCTGAAATGGAGGAGCATCGGAGGTTTCGTAGTATTAATTGCCAACGTGATTCATATTTGACGTTGATTAAAAAGACTTCGATGTTATACAAAGGCTAAAAGTCATGAATGAACAAGGCAAAGGAATAGATGGCCTGAGAGTTTATTTAACAGCATTTTATCTGTTTAACAAAGTTAAAACAATGCTGCTGGCTACCAGCATCTATGGCAATTCTGACGAGTTTAGTAAGCATTTTGATACAGCGGTTTAGAATAATTGAAAAGACACACTGCATGACCTCGTTGTTTTAACAAACACACATGTGACCTCAAGCGGTGTGTTAACTAGCTGATAAATATGACTTACAGTCTTTACGATTATGCAAACTAACAACTACTACAATTTCCGTTGATCTTTTGTTTAGAGAAAGGAAAATTTGGATTCGCGATTGCAAGGTCCGTTAAACATTGTTGAAGGTGTTCGGTTCTAGAAGCCTTGCTTAACTACTTACCTCCAATTAAAATGAAGCATGCTCTCAGAATTAAATTTTTTCTATCAAAGTCATGCTACTGATTTGCTCTGACTTCCAATTTGTAAAAGGGGAATGTGCACCCTTTACTTCCTCCTAGTTTTATCAATTTTTGAGCACTTTAATCACAGCAATGAACAATTCGTCTGCATTTCAAGGTGCACCTGAATTTTGCAGTTTTATGGACATATGAGAGCACAGAGTGAGAGCTATGTCCAATTGAAAATTGTTAGTGTTTGGGAAAATATATGGCAAACCAAATCTACCAACCGTCCGCATAAACAATCCTCTAAGTTGCAGTAAAGTCCACTTCTGCACTCTT